GGGAGGGTGGGAGGGAGGGAGGGCGGGAGGGTGGGGAAGAGATCATAAAGCGACGATAACATACGTAGTATGCAATCAATGTATGTATGTTATGTGTGCAAACCTCTGACCTCTGGCCGGAAGGAAGACACCTGACTGACTGACTGACAGCACCGACTTGGCATCTATCTGAGTCTGATCGACTCACTCTCACTCTCACCCACACCCTCATGCCATGGCGGCAAGGTAACATACTCGTACGTGGCAAAACCGCAAGACGCCGCAACAACACAACAGAGGACAACAAATCAAAACACAACACACCGCAGTGCACCGCACAAGCTATGGCCTGAGGGTGTAGAAGCGCTCCAGGTGGTCAATGTACTCCCTCTCAGCCAAATGGTCGCCGGCATAACCTAGCGCGCGCACACACAGACACCGACACAGACAAACACACACACACACACACACACATGGGTCCAGTCGGTGTCTGTCTGTGTCTTTTCCCACATTCCTCGCTCACCGATGTGCGACACGTGTCTGTCGGGCCTGACCATGACGAACGCGCCGGCGTTGCCCCATGCGGGCTGCAGGTTGAGCCGCAGCTTCTTGACCACCTCGCCCTCCAGGTCCCAACACACACAGAAATCGCTCGGATGCACTTCCAGCTGGCTCCTGACACACACACACAGAGAGAGAGAAAGAGAGAGAGAGAGAGACCGACTTCGTCCATCCATCCATCGATCCATCCATCCCTGTGTTTAGCGTGTGCAGACAGCCGTACATTCCGCCCAGGCGGTCCCTTATGTGTTTGCCGATTGAGTTGAGGCTGCCGCCGCCCATGGAGGAGGGGATGATGGCGGCCTTGCCGGCCGTCAGGATGACGGCCACACTGCAGCCGCCCCACGGACACCCGGATGCGATCCCGATCCGCCCAACGGACTCACACGCAACCTGCAACAGGTCCTCAAACGTATCCGATACTGCATGGCCACACACACCGTGACGCACACACAGGGAGAATCAAAGACAGAGAGACGGGGGGAGAATGTGTGGCGTCGCGTGGTGTGCGCGTGGTGGTTGTGCGTAGTTACTGGTGTCCTGGGTGACGTCATGGTTCCTGTTGGCGGTGCATTCGTCGGTGAGAAATGCGAACCAGCTCCTGGACGGTGCCGAGGGGCCCTCGTTGCCCAGCGACACACGCAGCACCAGCAGCAGGGTGTGGTGCGGACCGCACAGCAGCTGCAGCCAGCCATACACACACATCGATCGACACGCCGATGGCCGAATGAGTGCGTGTCTCTCTCTCTCTCTCTGTGTGTGTGTGTGTGTGATGCCTTGTTCACCTTGTGCAGCCTGGTGAATTGTGTCCGTGGGCCCCTCCTGCCCTCTGGGATCTGCAGACACAACAAACACCACACGGTCAGTCAGTCGTAGAGATCAGATGCATGCTGTGTTTGTTTTGTTTGTGGGGTGGTGGTGTGCGTGGATGGGTAGGGTCCCTCCTTCCCTGACTGACTGACCAGTCCGAGTGATGTGTCGGGGCACCTATCGCCGGGCCTCACCGCCCCTGGAATGTGCCCACTGCCGATCATCTTGCTGCAGGCAGCACACACATTATACACACACACATATGATGGATGCGAGAGGGTGACCGACTGGGCGGTGTGGTGTTGGCTGATGTGTTTTGGTCTGTCTTTATTGACTGACTGGTCGGTGGGGTATCTCAGTGTGGTCTGCGACATGGCCCCGCTGATGTGGCGGTTCACCGGACCGCTCCCCAGCACCAACGGCAGCACATTGCGCAGCGCCCATGTTACCCACCCCTCTGCACACACACAGACATAGATAGACACACCACTCAAGACTGCCCTCCCTCACGAGCATGGTTGTTTCCCTGACGCACTTGCTTCGATGAGGTCCTTGTATCCGATGGAGGTGTAGTTGACGATGGACTCGGCGATGGGCCGCCGCTCGTGGTCGTAGCTGTCGAGGAGGGCGGGTGCGGCGTTGCCCTTGACGACCATGGCGAGCTTCCACGCCAGGTTATGGGCGTCGCTGATGCCGACGTTCATACCCTGGTGACCCAGGGGCGGGTGCACATGCGCCCTGCACACCACACGGACAGACGGACGGCCAGATGGATGGATGGGTGGATGGATGAGGGTGTGGGCTCTGCGCATATGAGTGTATGTCTTACGCGTCGCCGGCGATGAATGCGTTTCCGACTCTGAATGTGGAGGCGCATCGTGAGTTGATTGAGTAGACCGAACCCCAGTAGACACGCTGCAGCACGGTGCCCGGCACCACCTGACACACACACACACACATACATACACACATACACAGATATCAACGCGGGAGTGAGATGTGCACTGACTGTTCACTTATTCTTCCTTCCTACCGCTGATACAATGTCTTGGAGTTCGGCGTGTGATGGTGGCTCCTGTGTGTGAGAAATCAATACAATGAAGGCAGGCAGGACAGCCGACAAGAGATCACTCACTGCATGTGCGCACCTTGTAGTATCTGTTGTCCAGAACGATATCGGGATCAGTCACGGCTGAAAACATACGCAAACACACACACACACACACACAGAGAGAGAGAGAGAGATTGACGCCCGTCTGCATTAGATGTCTGTGTGTGTACTGTCCCCCCCTCCCTCCCTCCCTGGTACCCATTCTCCTGATAGCGATGATTCGCCACCTGTCGTCGCTGAGGGCCAAACAGCTCAACATGTGACCGTTGGCGGTGATCGTGTTGAACCGATTCCTGCACGACCAACCATCACCCAACCACAACACACACCATGTGAGCCACGGCCGCATATAGCTATGCAGTGGTGTGCCTTCCTTGCCTGTCGTTGGGGACCCCCCAGACCATCTTGGTCGTCGCCACGATGAACTCATTGGGGAGGGTCGTGCCTGCGGACAGACACGGCACCACACGACCGACACACACATTGACCAACCAGCACTCAATGCCATCCATCCAGCCAGCCAGGTGACAGCACAGCCCACCCTCAAATCTGATGCCAAGGGTTTTCCTGACCAGCGACCGCGCCCCATCACAGCCCACGAGGTACCGTCCCCTCACCCGCCGCAGCCCACCGCCAGGCGGCCTGTGGTGGTGGTGACTGAGGCTGTGGTGGCCCGCTGACGAGTGCTCCCTGTGTGTGGTGGCGCCGTAGCGCCCCCCGTCGCCCTGCCGCTCGTCGGCGATGTTCATGAGAGTGGCGATGGACTCGCTGCTGCAGTGGGACCGCACGGACGGCGTCATCTCGCGCTCCCATGACGCACTCAGGTTCAAAGGGTCACTCGGGGAGTCGTCGGCTGAGCGAGAATCTGCACACGTACACACACACAGGGTGGGTGGTGTGTGCCAGCCCCCGTGTGTGTGTGTGGCGCAGGTACCTCTGTCGGTGAATCTGGTGGTGCATTCGGATGAGAGTGTGGTTGCGGTGAGGGGTGTGGTCTTGGGGGTGAGGAACGGCTGGGGGAACCGGAGCGACGGCGTCACCACCGCGTTGGGCTGAACCAACACCTGACTCACACACACACACGCACAGACTCACACACGTAAGATGCCTGTCCGTCTGTCTGTTGGTGCGTCACACGTACCTCGACGCCCTCGTGGTGTGCATTTCCCACTTTGATGGCGAGCACCTCGACTGGCCGGCGGATGCGGTGGCCGTACCCCAGCTGCACAATCCTCTCGGTGAGTATCCTCTCGGTCTCCGTCTGCTCGAGCGCTATCGGCAAAGCGTAGTGGCTGTCGCACTTGTCGTACGTCCAGTCAAAGGCCACAGACCCTGCCAATCAATGGGCGTGGCGTGGTGGCCACCCGCCCACAGACAGACAGACAGACAGACAGACAGAGGGACAGACACAGCACCACGTCAATGAGTGTGTGTATGTCCTTCCTCGGACCACAACCATCCGTACCATCGACGAACACCCGCTCTCCTTTCATTTTGACCCCCTCCCGTAGCACCTCGTCAATCACACCCACGTCTGCACGCACACACAGACGTGTAGTTCATGCCAGCCGAGCCGAGCGAGTCTTCGCCTGTCTGCCTGCCTGCCTGCGACTGTCCTGTCTGTCTGTCTGTCTGTCTGTCTGCGACTGTCCTGTTTGTCAGTCAGCACGTGCCTTCGAAAATCTCGAGTGTCCTGGGCTGCACGCCCAGGGCCCTGCTGGTGTCCACGTGGCGGGGCATTCGGTCGAGCAACAGAAAGTCCACTCCACGCCTATATGCCAACACCATCAACACACAAGCCGAGTGAAATCAGCGGCGCCACACACACGAGTCGGCATTGCAGTGCGCTGGCTGCCTTGTTTTCACCTTGCAAGATCCAGGGCGAGGCTGAGGCCGGTCGGCCCTGCTCCAAGGATGATGACGTCCGTTTCATCTGGCAACTCCACGTGCGGCGGCGGCAGCCGCAGAGACAGCATTAACGCTACCGGCCGACAGTTTCTCGGGATCTTTCGCAGATCACGATGGCATCGTGCTCAGGTCGTCACCGCACAGCTCAATTCACCATCCGCTGCTTCTGATTTGCGAGCTCAGATCGCAGACGTTCTCGAATCTGGGAAGCGGGGGGCGGGTGTTGGGCCTCCACTGCGCTTGGCTCTGCCGGTAGGAGATGTGCATGGTTACATATCTGTCAATCATGCCTGCATCTACATCTTGTGCACCAAGACCCGGGATCGTTGTTCGTCTTGTGCAGCTGCTGCACGCCTCCTTCTGCTTCTACACCGCTGCGGTGGGGGCATTCGGCGTCCTCGCAAGCAAGACCAGGATGCAGTCCACTCTCACGCCCGACGCCAGCAACCCCACGCCCGCAGGAGGACGGACGCCGCTAAAGGCCTTCTATGAGAAGGTGGGTGGGGACGATGGCAACACGAACACGCTGTGACTCTGTTGTGTCCATTTCCAGGGCGCCAGTGGGTGTGAGAAGCTTCGCGCGTTGGCTGCCGAGGGTGTGGCGGCCAAGTGGAAGGACATCGGCAGCACGCACGGCATTGAGCGGTGGGTGCGGCGGCTGGCGGGGGAGCCCCTGCAGACGAAAGGCCGTGTCTTCTTCCCCGCAAAAGACGGACTCGGACCCGCGCAGATCCTCGACTACATCTGGTATGTCTGTCTGCACATACCATATCGAGCAGGCGTGTGCGCTGCTGGTATCTGTGTATCTGTGCCTGAGTGCGTGCTTGTGTCAGGGACGAGAGCACCAAGAAGGAGTATGATCCCGAGTACGAGCAAGGTAGGCCGGCGGGCAGCCAGATAGATGGGACACTTCAAGTGCCATGTGAGTGAGTGTGCGTACGTGTGTTGCAGGTTTCCGTGTCGCCGACTATCCCGAGGAGAACCAAACGGCAGTGAAGGTCCTGTATCAGGTATAGACCAGACCACACACAAAGCAAACGATTCATGATTCCTTCCTCTGCTACCCGTCTCTCTCTCTCTCTCTCTCTGTCGCAGGCCTACAAGACGCCCGGCCTGGGCATCCCAGGGAGAGATTTCATCATCCTGACAGCGAGGCAGGACCGCCAGCAGGACGGAGGCCGCAGCCGCGCGACCATGTCTGTCCAGTCGGTCGACTGGAGCGAGGAGCTCACCAACACGTCCAAGCACCACTGGAGGGGCAAAGCCATGGTAGGTATGTGTGCACCGCACACACACATGGCGGTGGCATGTGGCACACGCACACAGCAAACAAAGAGTATGGTGTGTGTATACGGTCTGTGTGTACTGTGCGTGCGTGCGTGTGTGCGTGTGTGTGGTAGTTGTGTGGGTTTGACTGCGAGTCGCTTCCCGATGGCGGTGTGCAGGTGACGTACATCGAGCAGATCGACGCGTGCGGGTCGATCCCTGAGTGGCTGCAGCGGCAGGTCAAGATCAGACACCTCGACATGCTCAACACCATCAAGACAAATGTCGTCAACAAGTACTGACAAGCTGCATGTATAGATCTGGATGAGTGAGTTGCTGCCGATAGGAAAGAAAGCGTCTCTACTGCATCTGCGGGGGAGTGTCGTGTTGCCGCACAGGCCGCGTACGGCAGCAGCAACACTCCCCCGTCTGTGCGGCAGCGGGACACTCTCTTTCCCACGCCTCATTGCGTTGCTTTGACTAGCTTGGCTAGCGAGAGACGTGAGTAGTTTTGTGCAGTCGTTGGTTTGTGTATTGGTCTCTATGTGCTTCGTCTGATCGGGCGTGGAATGCGCGCTGCTACGGCGCTGGAAGTGGTTGCGAGAGGAAGCAGAAATACATATACACAAATTAAGAACTCGGTATCGCTCTACCTCGGATCTCCCCTCAGCTCGAGCTCGCAATAAAATTGGGTGGGGGAAAAAAGCGGGCGTCCACCATGGCATCACCTCCCCAGATCATCATCAGCGGGGCCCCAGCGTCGGGGAAGGGAACACAGTGCGAGAAGCTGGTGGAGCGGTTCGCCGCGGCGTGGTGCATCTCTCCACGGGCGACCTGCTGAGGGCGGCCGTCAAGGAGGGCACCGAGGTGGGGCTCAAGGCCAAGGACTTCATGGACAAGGGGCAGCTCGTCCCCGACGAACTCATCATCGGTGAGCAAATGGGATGTAGTGAAGTCGGGCGATGTGGGGGAGGGGCAAGCACGGGCCATTTCTCTCTTGCTGAGTGTGTCAGACCTGGTGAAGGAGTGCCTGACGACCGAAGAGTGCAAGCAGAAGGGATGGCTGCTCGACGGCTTCCCCCGCACTGCTGTAAGGCTCGGGTGGCTGTGGGGGGTCGCAACCGACTGTCTGTCTGTCTGTCTGTCCTGTTTTTTGGCGGGCAGGTGCAAGGTGAGAAGCTGCGGGAGTCTGGCATCATCCCCGACTGTGTGGTTGGCCTGGAGGTGCCCGATGAGGTCCTCATCAAGCGCGTCGTCGGACGAAGGCTCGACCCCGAGACAGGTCAGCCAGCAGCCACTGGAGCCTGAGACGTGCAAACAACACAACACACACGGCTCTGATGCACTCAGGCAAGATCTATCACCTTGAGTTCAAACCTCCGCCTGACGATGCGGCGATCAAGGCCCGCCTGCAGCACAGAAGCGACGACACCGAAGAGAAATGCACAGTCAGACTGGCGGTGAGTGAGTGTGAGTCAACACAGACAGGACGGCCAAAGGAGACACCAGTGTGTGTCCTGTATGTGTTGTGCAGGCATTCCACAGCCACAACAAGGCTGTCAAGGACGGGTTCGCCCAGTGCTTCACGTCGGTCGATGGCACCGGCAAACCTGATGAGGTCAGCAAGAGACACACAGACAGACAGGGAGATGGCTGGATGGCGAGAGTGCCCACATGATGAGCGCATGGCGTGTGTGTTGCTGTGGATTGGTTGCAGGTGTCCCAGCGCGTGTGTGAGTGCATCGATGCGGCACTTAGCAAGAAGAAGTGAACGACCGACAGCACAGCACAGCAGCAGAGGAGTGAAAGAGAGCGTCCAAACGGATGTCGCCTTGATGCCTGCCCTGCCTGATTCATCACCTCACACACCCACATGCAATCCAATGAAATGCAGAGAAGAAAGAGATAGATAAGAGGTGTGTGTAGGTGTGCTGCCTTTTTCGTCTTTCAGTCGTCTGTCTTTCGGTCTGTCTTGTCGTGATCGTGACTGCAGTCCTCTGCTATGCATAAGACCTCGTGTGCTGAGTGCTTTCGTCTTGTTTGGCAATGCGGAGAGGGAGGGAGGGAGGGAGGGAGGAAGGCTGGATTGGCTGGCTGCATTGGCTGGGATGCGTGGGTGATGCCGACTGAGTGGGTGTGTTGCTTGACGGGAGGGAGGGTGACAGAGAGACAAAAAATATTCAACAGTCACACACAGTTATCGATCCAAAACTGAATGGAATGAGCCGCGAGTCCATTTCCCGACGCACCCATTCACCCATTCCTTGTCAGGTCCACCGACCCGCACACCATGCAATGCAATGAGCCACAGGTAGCCAACTAGATAAACGCCCCCGCACTGCACCCACCCACCCAGTCACAGACTAGCACAACACACAACACACACATGTCAGGCTATCTGTGTGCATCAATCACATCAGCACGGTTGTCGGTCTTCCTTAGACATTGAGGTTCAATGTGCAGAGGAAGTCGTCTATCTTGGAGGCGCACATCTCATACACCGCCCTCTGCGACTCACGATCCTTCGTCCCCCCTTCCCTCTCCTGCACGTCCTCTTCATCGTCTCTCTCGCTACTCGCCGCTCCTGCCGGCTCTGTCGGTCTCTCTGATGGCTGCGATGGCGGTTGCCTTTCGTCTTTGCTCGATGCTGCCGTTGGTAGTGGCGGTGCTGATGACGTGGATGGCTCACTGGGCAGTGAGTCTGTGGGTGCGGCCTCCCTGGCGTCCTTGTCGGCCGCCGGCCTCTCCTTCTTGCCTCTGCGTGTGCTGCCGCCGCCCTTGGCCCGCTGTCGGTTGCCGGCCGTGGGTGAGGTCTCCTGCTGCTCCTCTTTGCTGATGCCATAGATGTCAGCCAACGCCTCCTGATGGGCGGGCACACACACATACGCACAGCATGAGCCAAATGTGGTCGGTGTGTCCCTCTCTGTGTGGTGGTGGGGGTGGCGTCACCGATGCGTCCTCACTTACCATGATGTCGTCAATCACGGGGATCGTATCGACGTCTTCTCTGTTCTGGATGGTCGCCGCAGATGCCCTAACCAGACGGACAAAGTCCTGGTGGCACGTGAGACGCCCCTCAGCACTGGAGGGTGATGCTGTTGGCAGGGCGGAGCTCTCGGGGGCCGAGGGGTACAGCAGACTGTCCAGATTGAGGGCCATGAACCGACTGGCCTGATGCAGAAGACGGTCCACCTGCAAACAGACAGGAACGAAGGAATGACGTCAGGAGATATCGGCTGGGTGGATGGGTGGATGGCCGTACTCGAAGTAGGTCTGAGAGGTGATACAATGAACACACATTTCCGAGGGTGATGTGGCACGCCAACACGCTGCCACACGTCGCTTTCAGACCTGCAGACATGGTCAAGCGTGTTTCCATGATGCGGGGTGCACACGCGCCTTCCTTCCCGCACCCACCAGGCAGCATGTATAGGCTTGCGATGTCGAGCAGCTCAATCAGTGCCGTGTCGCACTTGCGGAAGGCCGCCTCATTCAGCTCACAACGCACCTCGTGGTGCAACACCGTGTCCGTGTACAAATACTGACAGACAGACAGACAGACGGACGGACAGGCGGCCACCGCGTCGTCACAAGACGTCTCCCGCCTTTCTCCTTTGAGCGTCTTCACCACGCACCTCAAGCAGCAGAGAGAACCCCAGCAGTGAGACGCTAGAGAGATGGACAGTGAGCATCGGCCGCGCCGACCACTTGTCCGCATCTACCGCCAAGCGGCTGTCTTGTGTGGTGTTAGATGAGAAGCTCCCCGACTGTGAGCTGCCGGCCGACACGTTAACACCCACCGCCCCCGCGGCCCCCACCTCGCAGAAATGTGACGCAAACAGTGTCTGGAAATACTCAGCACGGGACTGCACAACAGAACACAACACCAGAGGCACCGTCCACACAGGCAGTCAGTCAAGTCGTCTGTGGATCGCCCTGCCCTCTGCCGTACCTCAAACATCAATCTGTGGCATCTGAATCGCATCGGTTTCTCCAGCTCATTGTGGACCTCCACGGTCAGATCGCAGGTCGACAGCAGGTCACCGTGAAGGGGTGGCGAGCGGGGGCTGCCGCGGTGCTCGTGGCTGGCGTGGGTGAGGATGGCCTTGACCACTGGCCGCATGGCCGATGCCATGGAGAAGGGGTAGGCGGGGGAAGGATCCAGGACTACAGACACCGGCCGGTGTAGAAGCTTCTTCTGTCATATGGGCACACGCACACACACACACAGCCGCCATGAGTGAGTGTGTGCCCGGCGAATGGATCATCCATCTCATCTCCCTCACCATGTGGCCTTTCTGGAATTTCTCCCCTACTTGCTGTAAAGGCACACACGATAAACGCACCTTAAAGGCATGCAGACACGCCCACCAATCAGTGTTCAGGGCCTCGTTCTCACCTTCTCCTCGAGGACGGCCTTTTTGAGTGCGTCGAGCTTCATGATGTTGGCGGCCTTCAGCACCTCGGGCACACTCGCCAGCGGCACCTCCAGCCTTTCAGTGTACAGCCACTTGATGACCTCTGCACACACACATACAATACAATACAATACAGCACACACCGAATCCATTTGGATGCACTGCGCATCCCAATTCTTGCTCCACCTCACCGAAGTAGGTCGACCAGGATATGCTGTACCTGCAGCAATCCACCCACACAGGCACAGCAACTTCATAGGCGCACCAAACAACCGGCCAGACAGCTCCGTCTTGGCTCACTTTGAGAGGACGTTGATGACGCATCGCCTCCTGTGCTGCTCCTTCTGCAGCGTGCGCCTGAGGTAGTGGCTCCTCGCCATGAGCACCAGCTTATGCGCGTGGATGAGGCCCCTCTCGCCCGCCCCGCTCTCCCATCCATTCTGGCCCTCCAGCTCCTCCACATGAACGCGGAACGCCTCGGACGAGGGCGACGCGCGTGCGAGGAAGGTCGGCACACCTTGACCGGCGACGGTGAAGTGCAGATCTGCCAGCGGCGACCTCTCGAACAGCTCTCGCCAGGTCTCCGAGTATCGATCCCGCTGCGCCGACGAGGTCGTCTGCTTGTACTGGGCAAGCAGGTTGCGGATCTGATCCGTCAGGGCGCCATACATGCATCTCTCGCCGTCAAATGTGCCCGGCTGACACTTGGCGCCTTTCTCCAGAAGATACATGACGGTGTCCAGATGGCCGGCGAAACACGCATAGTACAAAGGCGTCGCATCCCATTGGTCACGCACCTGCAAACAAGCAGCACACAACGGGCAACAAGTGTGTTCGGTTCGGGCTCTGATGTGGCGTGTGTGTTTGTGCGGTTACTTACATTGATGTTGTATTTCTCCTCCTCCACAAAGTGGCGGACCAGCTCCATGTTGCCGGTTCTGCAGGCGATGCAGAAGTCATCGAGTCTGTGCGGCTTCTGTTGCTGGACCATCGCCACTCACAAACTCCTGGCCCAAAAATGCTCTCTTGCCCCATCTACGTATACACGGCAGCGATGTTTTCCCTTTTGCCGCCGAATACGACGACACAACACCTTCCACGCCGCCCCTGTTGCGAAAACCTTTTGATCTGGGCTGCGAGCTTAGAACAGCGAATCTGGCCTCTAGGGGTTCTCCCAAAGAACAGGTGGGGGAGAAGCGGAGGCACTGCGTCCAGCTTTGCGTGTGATGGGTGCACGTTCCGGCTGCCAGATCAACTCAGCTGCAGTGCAACAGCGACGGGAGATGCCCCCAGCACTCAGTCGACAGCAACCAATGAGGCGCTGAATTCGCGCTGACTGTTTGCAATGCTTCCCAGAAAGCATGCATAGACTTATGTAATTGTCCGAGCGCTCTATGTGTCCATAACCGTCCACACAAACACAACGGGCACGGCACTCCGTCAGACGGCCAGCCGGCCAGCCATGAACACACACTTCTTATCACTCCCGCACTGTCTGTTGGAGCGGCCGGCACTCTATGGCCTCAGTGCGATGGCTGGCGGCGTCGTTGGTGGGTGCGGTGTCTCATTCATTCGCCGTCGCTCCCGTGTGATGTGAGCTGTGAGTCGACGAGTGCTCCGGGTGGTCGGATGGCGGCGGTGCGGCGCTGTGTGTCTGGGCGGCTCCGGCGGCGAACCATGGATGTGCCAACGCATCGGACGCTGAGGGCATTGCACACACAGACACATAAGCGGCGATCGACAAATGGCCTGGGTGGGTGGGTGTGTGTGTCTACCTGATGGGATGCGTTTGCCTTTGTCGGCCGTCAGCAGCCGACGGACAATGTCCGCGGCCTCCGGCGACACCTCGTCAGTCGAGAGGAAAGGCACTCCCTGACCCACACGCACATTGGCGTCGGTGGATGGATGGCCAATCTATGTGTCCTTCCCTCTGTAGCCTGCCAACTGACTGACCTGCCTCATTGCACTAGTGACCTGCCTCATTGCACTAGCGGAGATGCTGCCGTCGCCCCGCACATTGAAGGGGAATCGGCCGGTGAGCAAGAAGTATCTGAAAGAGGGAGGGACACACACGCGACAGACATCCACACACGTACATGAGTGTGTGTGTGTGTTTGTGGTTGCTGTCCGCACATGGCGACTCCGACGGCCCACAGGTCGCTGGCCGGACTGTAATCCAACGACGCAAAGCACTCTGGCGCCTACCGATGGATGCAACACACATGAATGACACACAGACATATATAATCTTTTGTGTATGTGGCAGTGTGTGTGACAGCTGAGAGTGTCAGCCAGCTTACAAGGTACTGACGCGTGCCGGCCAGACCCCTCAACTTTGGGCTCTCGGGCGTCAGTATGTTGTCGAAATCGACGAGCATCACGCGGCCATTCTCACCCTTGACAATGTTGCCCAGCGAAACGTCGCCATGTGTTATCTGCACACACACACACACACACAGCCACACGTGTGATCCATATATCCGACCCTCTGCCTGTCAAGGTACAATCGTTCACTGACCCCGTGTATGTGCAGCACATCGAGTCCCCTCAGCGCCCCCTCAGCAATGTGCCTGGCGTCCTCCTCGTCCACTCGCCCTCTCTCGCAGTCTTCGCCCCTCGCCCATTCCATGATGACATAGAAGGACTGGGCGTCTTGTGCCATCTCCATCACTCGGCAGAGGTGGCGACAGGGGGGCAGCCGCATGACGTGCTCGTAGTTGGAAAAGAACTCACTCTCCGTGAAGAGCGAAGTGGGCTGCCTGCACACACACAGACAGACGCAGAGGGACACATAAATGGATGGATGGAGGATTGAGTGGATGGACGGCTGGCTCACCGGTAGTCCTTGCGCAGGGCCTTGAGGGCCCATAGGTCGCCGGATAGAGTGCTCCGCACCTTGAAGATGTACCCATTGCTGACCCACACACACAAGTAGAGTCACACTGGATGGATCGATTCTCGCGGCTCTGACTGACTTACCCGCCTTGGTCGACCGGCGCGACAAACTGCAGCGCATTGGCCGCCAGCATTTCCCAGCAGCCCGCAAACGTTTGGATGCCCCCCAAGATCCCATCCCCTGCCGCGTTGCCACTGGCGTCTCCTTCAGCCACTCTGGGTGCCTCCTGCGCTCCTTCAGTTGAGGTCGAGGGGACGGTGTCAGAGGTGGTCTTCTGCTGCTGGTTGTCTGTCGTCTCGGTGTCGCTGGTGTGGCAGCTGCTGCAGCTGTTGGTCGATCTCCTTCTGTTCCTCTTCGAGCTCCTGTTCTTTGCGGCGCATTTCCTCCTTCTTGGCCTCCAGTCTGCGCCACTCACGGTCCATACTCTGCTGCTGTAGTCAGTGGAGGCGCTCTATTCTCTTCTCCCGCTCCGCCGCCCGCTCCTCGAGTTGAAAGCGGAGCCGCTCCTGGATCTCCGAGCGCTCCTGGAGCTCCATTTCCCAGAAGCCCTTCCAATTGTCCAGCTCCCTCGCGTAGGCCTCAATGTCCTTCTGCCTGTCGACTCGGGGGAATGGCCGGTAGCGGGACTCGTACGGCCCACCCTGACGAAAGAACGAAGAGACAGACACAGTATGCATGACTCGGCTGAACAGAATACCTCCGACGGATCGGATCGGCGTACCGTACGTATGTGGCTGACTGTGTTGGTGAGACTCACCTGGGCACCATAGGCGTAGCGGTCATCGTCCTTCTGTCGGCGATTGGTGCGGCGATTCAGCGGGGACTCTCGTGTCTCCTCTCGCACCGCTGACACAGACAGACAGACAGACGTGTCGATGATGTGCCAGTGAGTGACAGAGAAGGGCCATGTGTGTCTCATCCCACCACATCCCTCCTCACCTCCAGCGGCCCGGCCCCCACCAAGCAACGATCCCAAGCCCGAGAACATGCCGCCGAACAAACCACCTGATCCGTTGTCCTGACCATTGTAGGTGTTGTGAGTGTCCGGTGGCGGCACGTAGCGGCCCACCGAACTGGCCGTCTCCTCCACCTGCAGGCCGGCATGGTCGATGGGCCTCTGCTGCTGCTGCTGCTGGTGTCGCGAGGCACCACGTGTCCTTTGGGGCCCGAGTGGCGTCTGTGTGGTCATGACGCCGCACTGGTTGCCTCGGAACACCACCGGACCGGGTGTCTTCCTGACAAAGCTGGGAGCTGGGTCGGCGAGACGAGGACGGTGAGGCTCCTCGGGCCGCAAATACGGGTAGGCGTATTCTAATGCGTAGGCTGCGGGCTGAAAGGTGAGAGAAAGCAGAGAGAGCAATGCATGGATGTATGGGTCGCTGCCTGAGGAGTGAGCCACTGACCTCATAACGGTAGCTGGCCATCATCGCTGAAAACTCAGCTCGAATCTGCAGTAGTAAAGGCTTCAACTTGAACTTTGAAGTTTGATGTTGCAATCTGGGGGGGGGGGGGGGGGGGGGG